TTTTTTTTTTTTTTTTTTGGTACCGGGTATCAAACTCGGGTCCTTATGCTTGCGTAGCAGGCAGCGAAACCACTGAGCTAAATCCCCGGCCCTAGATTCTCATATGAGGACAAACCCTACCTGCAAATTGCAAATTTGAGTGATAAAGCTTGTGCTTTCTCCTTATGAGAATCTAACACCTGATGAAGTGAGATGAAGCTGAAGCCATGATACTACCTCTGGAGAGAGGTTACAAATATATGTTAACATGAGCAGAAAGGTTTGACTACACAGAGACATAATGAATCAATTGCTTGCAGACTCATGTCAAAACCCTATGAGTGAGTGGCAAGTGACAATTACACTACATCAAACAGTGAGCTTTATGTTAGCAAGTCAGATGCTGTAGCAGGCTTTAAGTCAGAATCCAAAAATTTTAGTCCATGCATGACCCATCCCTTATTTTATTTATCACTTCCATGTGCACATCATTCCCACACTCTGTGCTTGTCTCTGTAATAGTTTTGGTAAATCCACAAGCTGTGCCTAGCCAAAATGTGTAAAAAACAAATATCACTGAAGAGGCAACAAGGGAGAAAGACTCCATGATGAGATAACAGAAGACCTCAAAACTTACCAGATAAATCTGATATTAAAGAAAATACCAAGTCCTACGTAAATTCCATTCATTGCAACACATAATTCACAATCTCCAAGCCCACTTTGCAAAATATGTGGTGACTGGCTATCCAAGAAAGCCAGGAAACTTTCAACCCTGCATTGTTACATGGAGATCAACAACCCTGCATTTAAAAAAAAAAAAAAGCCTTTGGAGCTTATCAATAGAAAAGATTGTGAATACGGAAAACAAAAGCTTCTTGGAGGCCACTATTTCCTCAAAAGTGCTTGTACTGAGAGAATCATTGCAGTGGCTAAGCACATTGTTAATGATAAAGAATCCTTTAGTATTAGTGATGAGTTAATCCTGCCTACTTCCCAAGATATTTTTCATAAACTTTTAGAAGAGGGCAGAATTCAAAAAGTAGCGCAGGTTGCTCTTCCAGCCAACACCATGACTGGATGAATTGATGAACTTGAAGCTCCATTATTAGAGAAGATTAACGAGACAGTGTGGTATACTATACAAGTAGATGAGTCTACCAATGTTGACAAGGCAACAATACATATTGCTGTGTCTTTGGAGAACTATTCAAGTTTTTGAATGATTACATATCAGGAAAACTGAATTTTTCATTTTGTGTCTGTGCATTGTGGGAAAGGCTGCCATGACTGGATGGCTTTCTGTTTTCATTTGTCAGTTGAAAAAGTCTGGATGTGAATCTACACACTGTGTCATCCATAGAAATATCCTGACTAGCCAAAAATCATCATTTGAACTTAATATTTTACAAAATGTGATCAAAATTATCAATCACATTAAAGTGCCCTCAAATCACATCAGTTTGTGCAACTGTAAGAGCAGATAGGGGCAGAGCACACATATCTTGTCTTGTATACAAAAGTTAGATGGCTTTCTAAAGATAGATCACTGGACAGTCTTTGAGTGAAGAGAGCTGCTCCAGATCTTGCTTTTAGAAAGTCACCAACAGGGTAGAACCAGAGAGGTGCAGCTGCCTCCAGATCCCAGCCAGGGCCCTGCCCAGAGCCCAGGGGCTTGGGCACAAAAGCCCAAGCCAAAGGACCACCCAGAAAAGAACTTCACAGGCACAGAAACATCAGCCAGAGGCCCACAGCATACCATGGGTAAGTGCACACACAGATCCCAGCTGAGCAGATCCCAACCCTGCACCACTTGGGCTAATAGGCCCAAGCCAAGGGCCTGCCTGGAATAGAGCAGCATGGGATACAAGCAACTGCCAGAGGCTTGCCCCAATACCAATGGTAAGTTCATGGAGATCCTAGCCAGAAGATTGCTCAGACACCAGGGTCTGGGGTGCA